ACGCATGTTCAATGTACTTACGCTACAAAACAATGAATAAAGAATGTTTTGACTTTGACTTTGACTACAGTGTTTACCTCACCCCTAACGAGGCTATCCGTGACTTCCGCGAGAAGATAGAACGCTTGGAAGAGAGCGTGCACGACACCACAGGGCATGTAGTCGTAGCTCGGGATTTCAATGCTAGAGCTGTTGAGTGGGGAATGACCCTCAATAATTCCCGAGGGAAGTACATCCTGGACTTTGCTGCCAGGGCCGGACTCGTTGTCATCAACGAGGGCAACACGCCAACGTTCTGGCGACCCGGGATGAGGGGAACGATCCCATACATAACCCTTGCATCTGAGTATCTTCTGCCGAGGATCACAGCCTGGAGAGTCATGGAGGATTATACGGCCAGCAACCACCAGTACGTTATTTTCTATGTCTTAGATTGTCTCCCGAGACAAGTTGCTGCATCTCGGGAAGTGCCCGTTCAGTGGCACACCAAAAACTGGACTTGGCTAAATTCACCGAGGCCAACCTGCAGGGAGTGCCTGCCAGCGGTGCCTACTGCACCTGGCATGGCTCATGTAGAGGCATCAGTTACATCGATGATGGAGCTGATTACCTCGGCTTGTGATGAATCAATGCCCCGCAAGAGACCCCGTTGGGATAGGAGACCCGTATACTGGTGGACTGCTGGGATCTTGGATTTGCGTCGAGCTGCTTTGAGAGCTAGACGACTCGCTACCAGGGCCAGGGCACCCTTGAATAGACACCATAAGCTGGAGAGCTATAAGGTGGCGAGGAAGTCTCTCCGCCGTGCCATCAAACACAATTGCTGGAAAACACTAAGGGATGATGTTGATTCCGACCCGTGGGGCCTGGGTTACATACTAGTAACCCAAAACTCACCTCCCGCTCGAATTATTTATTTATTTTTATTTATTTCCCAACGAATTGCACCATTTTACAAAATCTGTGTTTACAATATGAGATGGCATTTACAATATTACTAACTAGAAAATTAATAACAAAAGTAATAACAAAGTGATAATAAATAGTAATAGAAAGAAATAAGAAATAGTAATAACAAAGTAATAACAAATAGTAATAACAGAAGAATAAATTAAAAGAGTAATAACAATGAATTTACACAGCAGGTTTCAACGATAACAAGATAAATATGCAGATGTGCTGGGGTGTGGTTACTCAAGTGAGCAGGGAGACCTTCTTCTTGAACGGGAGGGGCTTCTCACAGAAGCGTGTGCCTCTGGGCGTGGTAATGTCAATACTGCTCAGGATGTTGGAGCAATCGATAAACCCGTTAACCAGCTTGTAGAGCAGGATTATGTCGGCATGATAACGTCGGAGTGACAAAGGTAGGTGACAAGATCGAAGGACTTCTCCTCATCGTCAACCGGGGTAGTGCGGTAGGTAAAACCAAGTCTCGGTCCAAGCAACCGTATGAAGCGGGTTTGTATGTTCTCCAGTTGGTTGACGTGGTTCCTCTGGAAGGGAGACCAGATGATAGACCCATACCCCAGCAGCGGGCGTACCAGAGACTTGTAGAGCGTGATCAAGGTGAAGGTGAGTTGAAATTCCTAGTTGATCTGAATATGAAACCAAGCAGAGAGCTAGCTTTGGTTGTAATGTGGGCAATGTGCTCATGAGGGTTGAGCGAAGGGGTCATTGTCACTCCGAGATCTTGTACCCTGTCCACTCTCTTCAGTGTAGATCCATTGAGGATATAATCGTATTAGACTGGGGCTGCACCACGTTTGTAGGAGATGACGACACATTTCAAGACGTTGAGCTCCATGAAGTTCTCCTTGCAGCAGGCGTCGATGTTAGTCAGAGAAAGTTGGAGGCGCTCAAAGTCAGAAGCCAATGACACCAAGCCAAATACCTTAATATCATCGGCAAACATGAGAAATTTGGTAAGGAAGCCATGTTGAGAGGAAGAGATACATTTACAGAGATGAAAATAGAGGTAGTCCAGAACAATGCTCTCGTACACCTAGGCAACAGCAGAGAGAATGACAATAGGCCGATAGTTTTTGACATTTGAACGATCGCCAGATTTGAATATGGGGACGGCAAAGCCACGCTTAAGGGCCGATGAGAAGATTCCAAGTGAGAGCAGGGATGTAAACCAGATAGCCAGATGAGGAGCCAAAACAGGACAGTATTTAAGAACGCACGGAGGAATAGCATCAGGACCAGCTCCCTTATTAGGGTCAAGCGAGGCAAGTTTGAGTTGAACGTCTGAGGCAGTGACGACACATTTAGTGATGGAGAAGTTCCAGCCAAAGTTGAAGACATGCAAGGGAATTTGGTTCTCCGTGAAGACAGAGGAAAAGTAGTTTGAGAACAATTTGCAATTTCCAGCAGCACTCTCAGCCTCTCTACCATAAAACGATAGTTTGGCAGCAGGGGATGGGCTGCTCTTGAGTCTGTTGTCGTGAGACCAAAAAGATTTTATGTTATGAGGAATGTCGTCTTCAATTCTTTTTAAGTAGTCTCGATGACACTTGGTGGCCAAGAACTTACACTGGCTTCTCAAATTGCTAAAACTTTCACGATGACGAAGATTCCCTGAGGTTTTAAGAAGTCGATGGGCTCTCCACCTTCCGTCATGGAGGGGCCACTATGGAGAGGGTTGTCAAATCCCTTTTTCCGGATCATATGCTGTGCCCACTGCGTGAGTTTGGAAGGATGGACGATGTCCCACTCTTCACTCATGAGGAGCTGGAGACTGCCGTTTTATCCCTAAAAAACAACAAGGCTCCTGGACCTGATGGGGTACCTAACGAGGCTCTTAAGAAGTTTTTTTTCAATCAATCTCCTGATTCTTCAGAGCACGTACAACACCTGCCTGGCAGAGGGGGTATTTCCGTTGTGCTGGAAAAAAGCTAGGCTCTTGCTCGTAGGGAAGGGAAATGGAGACCCAGAACTGCCGTCCTCTTACAGACCCCTTTGCATATTGGATACGGCTGAGAAAGTCCTAGATAAGTTGATCCGTTCCCGACTGAATTCAGCCGTGGTTGCTGCGGGGGTCCCTTGCCAATACGGCTTCAGGAAGGAGCGATCAACGGTCGACGCTATTGTGGAGGTGAAGCGAGCCGTGATGAGAGCTGAGGATTTTAATCACTACTCTCGTGGGGTTGTGCTGCTTGTTACACTCAATGTGCAAAAACATTTAATTCTGCAAGATGGTGCGATATGCTGCACGCTCTGAAGAACACCTTCCACATCCCGGCATACCTCATGCGCATTATAGAGGATTACCTCCGGATCTGCCTCCTCATGTATGATACTGCAGAAGGCCCGTAGACCATGAGTGTCTTTTCTGGTGCTGCCCAAGGCTCCATACTCGGCCCGGACCTCTGGATCGTTGCCTACGACAGCCTCCTTAGGTCTGAAATGCCTGAGGAAACTGTTTTAGTTGGGTACACAGATGACATTGCAGCAATAGCTGCTTGTAGTCTTGATTTGGCCCAGCTAAAATTAAACCGAGTCATGCAAACTATAAACGCATAGATGGCAGATCACGGTCTCTCACTCGCTCTGAACAAAACTGAGATCGTGATTCTGACCAAAAAGCGGATTGACACCATTGTGCCGTTGAGGGTGGGGAACGTCAAAGTCCAAACTGTTCGTGCCCGCTAAGTATCTTGGTGTCATGGTGGGCTCTAAACTTAGCTGGCGGGACCAGATATTCCGAACGGTGGTCAAGGCCGCTAAGGTTATTTCTTCTCTTAGCCGGTTAATGGCCAATGTCTGAGTTCCTCGTTCCAGTTGCAGAAGGCTGTTGATATCTGCAGTTCAGTCTGTACCCCTGTACGGTGCGGAAGTATGGGCAGACGCGCTCAATAAGGAGGCGTACAGGATCAGGATGCGGCTCTCATCATGCGTCATGCAGCACTCAGGGTATCATCCGCCTACCGAACAGTTTCTGAACCCGCCACTGTGGTGGTTGCTGGTGTAATCACCGTCAAACTTTTGGCGGCGGAGAGGAAAGCGATTTATCAGCGGCGTGCGGAGGACCTTGCAAAAACGGAGGAGCGCAACCGCACCTACCAGCTCTGGCAGGAGAGCTGGGAATAGGAGACATGGGGACGCTGGACCAGAAGACTGATTCAGCAAGTCCAACCGTTGGTTGACCGACGGTATGGTGAGGTGGACCATTATCTTACCCAGTTTCTGACAGGTCACGGTTTTTTTCCGGTCATACCTGTTCAGGATGGGCAAAGCCGTGTCACCCGATTGCATCTACTGCCCAGGCACTCCCGACGACGCGGAGCACACCTTCTTCCGCTGCCAGCGTTAGGAAGGTTCCGGCCTGGAGGCTCAACAACATGTAGGACAGTTGTCGGCGGACACGGTCATTCCGATGATGACGGAGGGTGAGGACGATTGGACCTGTTTGTCACATTACGTCCAGTATATTCTCCGTGCAAAGAAGCTAGAGCTTGACCGGGATGCAGTCTAGGTCATAAAGAAATTGAATGCCAGAAACGGCGTGAGCCCTGAGGGCTTAGATCACACGTTGACCTGACCTGATTGACCTGAAGTAAAGTGACAAACAATCCCAGGTCTGTGTCCAACAGAGTAGAGGGGGTTTTTCAGTGAGTAGTGTGACAAGCTCAGGAGTCTCACACTACAGGCTGGCTACCTGTGTGCGTAAAAGCATTTTTACCTCCTCTCCCTTAAAAAAAAAAATTCCATACACTTCTGGAGTTAAAGTATTCTTTTGGCCCAAAATTAGACTATGTCATAGGTAAAGGTATGCCTACTAGAAACAACACTAATGCTACTTTCCCTCTGCAGTAATTAAGCATACCATTAAAAAATGCATAATCATAAAAAAACATTCAGGTATAAATCTGTGTTGTTTTAAATATTCTTATTTGACCAAAGATAATGATAATAATGTTGGTTGTTACGAAGTTAAAAACATAACAATTTAGATACCTACGTAACAGAGCATGATACAAGTGTAATTTGTTCCACAGATTTAACTTTGTTAAGACCTCGTTTTACAAGTGAAGAAAGGAAAAGAGTAGAACCATTTATCAACTGCCGAGTGGCATTTATTAAATGGATTGCCAATTTTACTCACTCAACAAAAAAGGATCAGTTGATTCAGCCAGTAGCTCGATCTGCAAGGTAAATTATTTTAGTACCGTACTGCCATTGACTTTAGAATACTGAAGTAGACATCCAATCTGTATGGACCAGTTGTGTAGCCAAATTTTTTTATTCAAATAGAATATCATATACAGAGTGGTTCATAAATAACGAACCATTTTTAAACAAAATCAGCTATTGTTATACGTAGAATTTTCATTGTTGTATTAAACAGCAACTAATGTAAAACGAGGCCATTTGAGTAATCATGGATTGTTGGACAGTACAGCACTGTGCCTTTTCCATTGAAGCCTATTTAAACTATAAGTGACATTATGAGGCGCCCCAGAAGGTTTTCACTTTCAGCTGAAAGAGTGTTTGACAAAACATCAGATGTAATCTAGGGTCACCTTAAATGAGCTTCTGTGCAACAACCAGTTTGTAGGGATGTAATTCAAATCGTCATGCAAAATACAATGCAAACTGGTCCTAGCAACCTAAAGGCAACAGAATGCTTTCTTGCGGATCTTTTGGGAATTTGGACAACAGATTCCCAAACTCTTGCAATGTACGTAATCTCATCTGTACGTTCAGACTTGGATCTCCCCGGAGATTTATTCTTGAAAACAGATCCCTTAGTTCTTAAATCAAACACCCACCTATAGATAGTATTCCTAGAGGGAACCAGACCATGATGATGGACGTCGAAATGATTTTGTAATAACCACTGAGCTACAATCACAAACACTTTTTTTTAAATAGACTTCAATGCATAAGGCACGGGGTTGTACTGTTAAACGATCCATGATTACATAAAAAAATGGCATGACATTTGTTGTTGTTTAATACAGCAATGAAAATTCTACACGTAACAATAGCTGATTGACATTTGTTTACAAATGATCCGTTCTTGTAATCGGACAAAAACTCACGACGACGCCGCCATTTTAGGTTAAACGATAACAAGTGTTCTGTTCTTTCAGCTTTGAAAAATCCAATGCTTCTATTTGTTTGACCAGCCTGACAACATTGAATTCTACAATTGTTTGTCTATGAGAGCATGTATAAAACAACATTCTTGTACTTTTCAAATTATATATTATATGCGTTTCAGATATTGAAAATATTTGCTGATTTCGCCACACTAGCCTTACGTAAAAATTGGCTATTTACAAAAAAATTGTTATTAGCTGTTGGAATGTATTATGACATTATACTTTATACAAAATGAAAGTTTACTTCCTCCTTGTTGCAGTTGTATCACTTGTCTTTGCTAGAAACAAAAACTACGTCTGTTTTTTTTTAATTACTCATCTTTTTACGATTTCACAACAAAACATGGCGGTTGCGAGTTCGTGCGTTATTTTCATTCAAATGTAACTCATGATTAGATCGATGTACTTATCTTATGAGGTTTATTCTTATAATTAAATGAAACTTCAGAATCTCATCTTTCCATTGGTATAAGAGTTATGTCATTTCACCAACTATAACTGTGCGTAAAATGCAGCGAGAAAAAATGTTACGTTAATCGAAAAATTTTTTCGGCTGCCACTTCAGCAACACAGTTTGAGATCATCATTCTTTGTCGATTTGCCACTCGTAGGGTTAAGGAAATATTTTATGAGAAATCTAGCTAGGTAAATGGAAATTCACTGAGTATGCAGGTTTGCTGTGGCGAGGGTATTTTCCTTACTTTTTTAAAAAGCCTATAGAGTTTATTCAGTATTTAAAAGTTGGAGTTAAAGTCAGCTCGAACACATGTGTAACTTTGTTGTCCAAAATGGCACCTAAAAGAAAGTATCGGGTGCAAAGCATTAAGAAAAGGGGCATTTTGAGCTACAGAATCCAAAACATAAACTTGTATCAAACAAAGTGGTACGGTTAAATGTTGTTTCTGAACCTGTTGGTGGATGTGTGGTGGATTTTGTACAATAGATGTAAAGATCAAATTTTTCTCTTTTGCGCCCTCTTCCCGTTGCAAAGCACATGTATAGTAGCTAGTTTATTATGTTATTAAAGTAAAAGTGAAACAGTCAAATTTGTGGTCATTGTTTAAGACATTTAACCGAATAAAAATATAGGTATATGGTACATCAAAATTAAGGTTAAGAGTGTTTAGATTTGCCGAAAATTATTGGTAGGAATGAATTTCCATAGGGCTTTGGCCCACACGCCGATTTTCAATAGGCTACGCCTTAAATGCTTCCAAAGTTTAAATTATTTAATTAATTAAATGAAACAGCTGGTCCATGCAATTTACGGGTATTTGTTTATAGAGTTGAAAGGGGTTGGGGCTTTTTTTACATTGTGGATATTTGTGTGTTGTTTAGGAAGAGGGTCATGTTTGATTAACAAAAGGTAGTGAAAGTTTTATAGAATATTTCTCATAGTTTTCTTTGTAATTTATATAAATAATAAACTACTAGTAAAAAAGCTTGACTGAAATTAAAGAATTAAGGTTAAACATATTTTTCTTGAAACATCAATATCAATCTCTTTTTGCAATTTCTACATTGAGATCCTTGTAAAACATTTTAACTTATTTTCACACGGTTGATTAAGACGTGTATTTGTTTTTTCCAGCATAACCCCCAGTGAAAGTGAAGGAGAGCGTTCACCTAACTCTGAGCTTCGCCGAGTGAGTGTTGGTGCTAACCTGACGCCAGGCAGCAGTGTTGTCACCTCTATGGATGAGTCTTCATCTCTTACACCATTCATACCTCACAGTGATTATTATTTAAGGTAATTATTGTATGACTGTAACAAAGCCAGTTATTGATGTGGTAAGGTCTTTAATTTAGTGAATCTTATTATTTATCACGGTTGTGTACACTTGAATAAAACTATTTTCTTGCCGTTTGATTGTGATACTGTGATCTATTTTCTTAAAGATATATATAAAAAAAAAAACAAAAAAAAACTCTTGATTTCAGTCACAAAATCACAAAGATTTTTCTTATCATACAAAAATGAGGGATTATAAACTTTCAACCTTATATTTAGAGATATTTAGAGGAAATTGAATGCTGTTCTAGAGCAATTTTCTCTAAAAATAATTTAAACACACTCAACTCCCAATTAACTGTAACTGGATTAAACGCAAATCACTGTATCCAGCTCTCTCAATGTCATAAACCTTCTAGAGATGTAAGTTATTGTTGTTTGCCAGCAACGCAACGGCAATGTTTTTCGCCCGCCAATAACAGGTTGCCGAATCCTGTTATTTCAGCCACACTGCCAAGAATTCGTTGTCCAGAGTCCGTTGTCAATGGCTATTGTGTCCCAGCAATAGTTTTTATTTTTATTTTGTGTTGGATGCTACTAAACATAGACTTGTTTGTTATTTCATATTGTTAAGATTGCATAGAATTGATCAAATTTATTTTTGAATGTAGTATTTTACAAAGAATATGTAAATAAATTAGGTATTTTGCTAAACCTTATCTTCTTAATAGGTATTTTAGCTATTGCAACGGCTAAATTAATAAAATATGTAGAAATATTATCATAATTTATAACATAATAATAATTGAAAACCTCAAGTTTAAGTAAAAATTATGACAATAATTTGAAATATGTAAATGTATAAATATCATTATCTACTTAATTAAAAGCATTACTAATTACCAGCAATCACTGGAAAATGTACTGTGGAATGTCGTTTTTTCAAGATGATGCCTAAGATTTGACACGGTCGACTTTTAACTAAATGATTGTCCAACATGTCACGAGCATCACTTTTCTTTCATCGTTCACAATGCTAAAATAACCCCACAGAAAAACTGTTGAGGCCCAATTATTCCCCTTCAATGATATACAGGGTGGAACGAAGTTAGTGTTAAAAAATTTTATGTGTTAAGCTACTAAGTATTGGTGACAAAATGGCACCAATTTAAGTTTCCATACCCTCACAGGTAGGGAATAATAGACAATTTAAGATTTTTTCAAAATATTTGTACTTACTTACATAAAATGGCCATAAGGGCATTAAACATTTTTTTTTCTTCCAAATTCATTGTCATTTTCAGAATCCTCGTTAAATTTCCAATAGTAATAGTACAAATTCATTGAGATTAAACATCAGCATAAGCCCTTATTTGACCATGGAAGTTTGAATTTGTGATTTTGTATAAATAAGTAATAACTTTTTCCAAAGTTTTTCTATACTACACTGGACTGTAGAGAGTGTCAAATATTACTAAAAACTTCTGCAGTTAATAACCTTTAAAATGATGTATAAACATCTACTGTTCCTTTGATTTGTCGTTCTCAAATTTAAGAGTTTCTCATGAAAAACACGGAACGGCTAATGTTTAATTTCCTTTAAAAAAACCATGTATTGGCTTTTATGATATGGCAGCAGCTGCTTTAAAAATCATGTTTAAATGGGTATTTTTGCAATTTTAGAATCCTTGTAATATTCCTAATAAGAATATTGAGGAATTGTTAGGATTAACACCTTATGAACCTATGTTTTGTGATGAATTTTCATTTACGGGGTTTTTTTCTTATTTATTGGAATAAATTAAATATCGTTTACGGTGTTAGTTCTATGGCACATTCAACCGATGTGCGAGATTGATTTAAATTTAAATACACAACTTGAATGATAATGATGGGTCCTATGGTGTGGTTTGCTGGCATGCCAGGTCGCCAGACCCCAGACCTAAGTCCACTAGACTTGCTTTGTGTGTTATGTAGAGTACTTGGTCTACTCATCTTTAGTGGAAGATAATCAGAAAATTAACTACTGGATAATGAATGCAGATGTGCTAGTCAGAGGAACGTTGTATTTTAATGTTACTGTTGGCGCCACGTGCAAAAAGAGCTCGGCTGTGTATCTAAGAGGAGATTAAAAAAAAACTCGAGTAGTTGGCATCAAATAGAATGGAACTATTAAAACGTCAAGGAAGTAAGGAACAGTGTCTTAAGTTTCGAATATTGTGTGTTTTAGAATTAACTTTTATTTTTTTGTATAAATAACTAAAACTAAGTATTTTTTAGGTGTTAACAATTATTTTAGTTAAGAAATATATCACTTGACTGAGTTATTTCCATTAGCATATGTCCTAAGCACTACAATCAATTAATTGGTATACTATACTTAGGTTAATTTTCGGTATTCGGTGAACATATTGACGAAATTGTAAAGTGTAGTATCTACATAATTTTATAGGCTACTCCATTGGAAGTATTTGCTTATGCTTAAAAAAATCTTAAGTTAAATGTACCATGTGTAACTTTAAACAATATTCAATGTATTCAAAAAATAAAAATAAAACTAATTTAACATGTTTTTACAAAACATACGTTTATACGGATGTTAATCCTAATAGATCATTAATAGTCTTACAATAAATCTCACAAGGATTCTAAAACCTACAATAGACCCTATTCAAATATAACTGTTATTGCAGCTATTGCCATATTATTTAAGCAAATACATGTTATTTTAAAGGAAATTAAACATTAGCCGTTCCGTGTTTTTCATGAGAAACTCTTAATTTTGAGAACGACCAATCAAAGGAACAGTAGATGTTTATACATCATTTTAAAGGTTATTAACTGCAGAAGTTTTTAGTAATATTTGACACTCTCTACAGTCCAGTGTAGTATAGAAAAACTTTGGAAAAAGTTATTACTTATTTATAAAAAATCACAAATTCAAACTTCCATGGCCAAATAAGGGCTTATGCAGATGTTTAATCACAATGAATTTGTACCATTACTATTGGAAATTTAATGAGGATTCTGAAAATGAACATGAGTTTGGAATAAAAACAAAGTTTAATGCACTTATGGCCATTTTATGTAAGTAAGTACAAATATTTTGAAAAAATCTTAAATTGTCTGTTATTCCCTACCTGTGAGGGTATGGAAACTTAAATTGGTGCCATTTTGTCACCAATACTTAGTAGTTTAACACATAAAATTTTTTAACACTAACTTCGTTCCACCCTGTATAATCAATAGGGGTGGGCGAGTAGTGATTTTTCAATTTGAGTCGAGTATTTGAGTAAAAACTCGAGTATCGAGTCGAGTCGAGTAGTTGGGCGTTAAGTAGGCCTAGGCCCAGGGTTTAAAGCTGCGGTAGTATTTTTAGCATCTTGCTATTCACAACTTAAAAATGATAAGTTTACTTTGTTTTGCAGGCTAGGCCTATGGCAAATTTTCTACAAATAATATTGAAAGATGTAATGTTCAAACAAATGTAATTAGCCTACTGGAATTTTTGTTTTAAATGCTTAAGTTATTGATTAATATTTTTTCTACAGTTAACTTAAGTTAGTTTTTGGGGTACAGTTTCTTAACTGGGCTACGCTAATATTGATTGAAACTATCGATTCGATTAGTAAACCTTCATGCGATTTTTTCACCATCAGCAAGTTTGGATGGTTAGGTTAGGTTATGATAGTTTAATTTTATAATAGATATATTTTAAAATATCGATTATTAATGAATATTTTCAATTTGATAGTTTCAATCAATATTAGCGTAGCCCAGTTAAGAAACTGTAGGCCTACCCAGTTTTTGTCTTTGCAGAGAGAGTTTGCAGCATTTTGCTGAAACAAATTTCATCCTAGCCTAAACCCTGCCTAGGCCTAAATAGGTACCTAGTTTAAGTACTTATACCAAATTTTCTTAGTTATATGGTTACTAATTATTAGTAGGCCTACCTCCTACCTTAGGCCTAGTAAAAAATTTTGCCTAGACTACTTGTTGGCTGCAGCATTAAATTATTTAGGCCTACACATCACTTGTTATTGTGTGTCCTTCATCACTTCCTACGTCGTGGACCTGTTTCCCTCCCTTCCCATAGCATTTTAGGATTGCCAATACCCTTATCTAATCGTCATAAACAGTTCCCACACTCCGGACTGCTCGCCTTTACTACTTCCTTCCTTGCTAAGTCACGGACAAGTTTCCCTCCCTTCTCATAGCATTTTATGATTGCAAATACCTTAATCTTATCGTCATAAACAGATCCCACACTCCGGGCAACTCTCCTTTACTACTTCCTTCACCACTTCCTACGTCGCGGATCTGTTTCCTTCCCTTCCCATAGCATTTTAGGATTGCAGACCTTAATCTAATCGTCATAAACAGATACCACACTTCCCTATACTTCGCACTGCTAGCCTTTACTAGGCCTACAATGTATCGAGTATTCTTCAGTATAATCTTTGCTCCATAGCAACAAGTGATGTTTTCCCTTTTGTACTGTATTTGTAATTTGCTAGTATACTGTGGGTAGTTGGCTTATTATGAACACATGCTACAACTTTAAGTCTTTGTTTACTTTTTCCTTGTTATTTAATTCAACCAACATGGTTACTTAGCAACCCATAAGACTAATGTTAAAAAAATGTGACTTTCAGTTTCATTTTTCTACGTTATTAGATTTTTGTTGGCAGTTCTAACTGTAGTAAACTCGTTTTTAGGCCAAAAATAATATATTTACAACATTTGAAGAAAATCGTCGGAGCCGTTTTCGAGATCTTGGTACAAGCAAGCAAGCATACATACATACAAGCAAACATTGCTCGTATTAGAGTATAGGATATAATTTTAAATTTTACTTGTTTATTACTTTTAATCAACTATTTGTCATTTTATTAAATCAATAGTCAGCATGCTAATCTGCTTATTGATGTTGTTAAAATTACTTGTATTAAGTGTCGAGTTAAGTTCTTAGAATAATACGTAGGGACACAGATCCTCTCATAACTCAGCAGTCCTGTTGTCTGTGGAGCAAGTTTAATCAAAATGTATAATTGTGTTCCATAGTTTGATTAGTAATGCCTGTGTTTGCTGCAGTGAGGATCCCAATATAACAGCCATCAACATTGTGAGGGACGTACTGTACGGCACCAGAGAGAACGTCAACATGATCCACGAGGTGTACCGTCAGGCGTTCCTGCTCAACTTCACCTACTCCCCAGCCATCAGGAGGGCCATAACAGTCTACAAGGACTGGATACAGATGAATGTGAGGAGCTCAACATTCATACATGTCTCCATGTGTTTGTTTATTTGGTTCAGCCAAGATATTTAAATTATGTAGATAAAAGCAAGGGATGCACTGCATAAGACTAACTTTTAAGTAAAATTTAGGTATTTGATATAAATAGCTTCCACTGAGTAGTAAGTTATATGATTTATTTATACTAAATTATCTTGTCCTAAATATTATCTACTTTGTGACGGAGAATCTCACTTGTAAGTAAGATATTTGTTTACGGTCTATTTCTAAGATGTTACTGTTGTGTTCTGTGTTGTTTTTTTTTTTGAGTTTTTGTTTGTTACTGTTGTTGTGTTGTGGTGGTGTTCAGGTTCCTGAACTGCCACCTTTCATGCTGGAACCTTTGGACAGTCAACGGACTTCTACTGAATACACCAACATGGAGGTAAATACCCTTGCCGCAGCAAACCTGCCGACTAAGCAAATTTCCATTTGTAGGAATTGATTTTCAATTAAATCTATTTAAATAACATTAGGTTTAACGAGTACCTAGGTTTGCTGCTACAAGGAAACTGTTTAAGTGGGGTTTTTAGTAAAATATTAATAGCTTAGTATACAATAATTAAATTTGCCAAGTTTTATCAAAATATATCCATAAACAAGCAAACTACATTTTACAATATTCTCCATAAGATTAACATGGGAATTTTAAATTTACAATTTTGCTTAATTTTATCCGTTACCAATAACCATACAAAAACACTTTGACATACTAAATTATTTGTTTTTTTTTTAAGCTCTTTAAAAAGGTCTAGAGAGAAATTGGAAAATTTTGTGTTTTGAGGGTAAAAAAATGAGAAAACCCATTTTTTACCCCATAAAATCCCCTGTAAAACCCCGTTCTCATGGTCCGATCATGCTGGTTCGCGACCTCATTCAAGTTTATCCTGCCTTACACCTTTAAACCAAATTTCATCAAAATCGGACAAAAATTACTCAAGTTATCGCGTTCACGGACGTATATTTCATATATATAAAAATTTGAACGAATAGTGTTTTTGGCATCTGGGGACATCAAAATGAAAAAGTAAATCGGTCCCGGGCCTAGATCTTACCGTGCCACCTACGGTAATAGGGGGTAGCGGATTTCTACCCCCGGATATTTACCCCCATGAAAAAATGCCTACGTCATTTTGACGTCACGAGGGGCCTATACACGATTGAGAAACAGCCCGCGATTGGAAATCTACCCTCGGACATCTACCCCCAGACATCTACCCCCGGACATCTACCCCCGGAAATCTACCCCTGTGGTCAGCTACGCTACGTATCGGCCAAGATGCATTGTTATAATTGATTTTATAATTTGGTTTATGTAAATAAACGGCTTTTCGGTTATTCATTAGCTTCTAATATCCAGTATAAAGCATGCGATATGTCGTCGTCATGTTTAACATTGCCACGACCTAAACACAGTACAAAGAGAAAAGATTCGAATGATAACTACTAGTCATCGATCTCTATTACTACAGAGATCGATGTCACTAGTTAACATTTAAGTCGAAATTTGGAAACGACCACTGATCGAATAGGTACAGTATTTTACATATTTTATTTACGTTTCTAAATAAGGTTATAACAAATAACATTTATCTTATTTTATTGGGATTAAAACAACTACAAGATTCTGCAGTTTAAAAAAACTAGGTATTCTGAAATCAATATTTTTTTCTAAATATGCTACTATGAATATGCTTTCTTATTATTTACTTTTAAATATTTTTGATGATATCATCATTTTGGTGACACACCTGTTGTGTTGATTGGCATCGACTTGGGGTATAATATTGCCCAGGAAGAATAAAGTATTTTTTGAGCTTTCGTTTTACAAAAAAAAATTTTAATTCGCATAATAAGCTAATGAATAACCAAAGAGCCATTGATTTACATAAACCAATTAATGAAATCAATTACAACAATGCATCTTTACTGATATGTAGCGTAGCTGACCACGGGGGTAGATTTCCGGAGGTAGATTTCCAGTCGTGGGCTGTTTCTCGACCGTGTATAGGCCCCGCCCCTCAAAATGACGTAGGCGTTTTTTCATGGGGGTAAATATCCGGGGGTAGAATTCTTCGACCCAGTAATAGCTACTTCCCTTTAGGGAAATTCGCTAAAAGTAGGCCATTTCAGTAAAGCTACCAAAGAAATTTGTATGGGATATTATTTTTTTCTAAATTAAGAGTATTCAACCTTCAAACTAAAAACCTACTGTAATTCTTCTCTAAATATTCATATTTAGTCTAAAATATTATTATTCACAGTAAACTTAAATGCAATAGCCTCTTAACAAAGCTTTTTTATTGTCAACTATTACATTTGAATACAATATATTGAACTATTGTTAGTTTGTTGGAGTATACCTTACCTGTAAAAAGACCAGAATAGTTAAGCCATCCTGCATACTAAAAATGGTCATTTTATCAAGACCATTAACATATATGACAGATATAATTTCATTTGTGAATTAATTATGTTGGGTCCCGTTAAATTTGATCCAGTGAATGTGATATTAGCCCACAACAAAGAATCATAATTATTTAGCATTAAATAAAGTGCTTTTATGTGCTTTGGAATAGTGATGTTTTCAATGCTTCGGAAAACCATGCCATTTTGTAAATAGTTCATGTTGTTGGATTCAAATTTATTACTGATGATGGAATGATGTAATGGTAATCATTTAGTTATGGAGCTATAATGCATGGAAATGTCTGTTTCAATGTTTTACTTGTAATTTTTATATTCACCAAGCTAAGATATTTCACAAGAGTTAAATTATCATCAATTTACCTTACTTTGCCTTTCCGTTTTAGTCACCAGATGAAGTTGGAAGGCAGAATAGGCTAAGAAATGACTCGTACATTGGAGCGATAAACAAAGAAAATCTTTTGGTGCGAGCTGGTCTACAGGTAATTTAGAAAAAAAATTGTGTTTGATTCCATTCCTTATAAAGAAAACCTACAGACTGAGCGAATTATAATTTGTCTGATTCTATTTTTACTTAATTATTTCCATACACAAGTCAATATTTATTCCCCTTTTAAATAAGCTTAGTTTTATTGAGTACTTATGTAAAGAGTAAACACAAGGTTAGGAAGTACTTAAAAAGGAGAAATGACTCACAGAGTTTTTTTTCCAGGTAGATAAATCATAGACAAAGAGTGTAAATATGCATGTAAAGTTTAAAATAATAAGTTAGTTAGTTAGTTGTATTTAAATACCTATTAGTCTATAAAAAGTATTCAAATCTTCTATATAAATAAAATTAGAGTTTTGTCTGTACATTGCTCAGAATTATATATTTTTAGGTTATTTTTATGTTGTATACATTAAAGAAGCAGAAACAAGTCTTATCTCTATTTCTGTCTGTCTGTCTTTCTGTCTGTCTATAACACTCAAGATGGCATTTTACGCTCTCTTCTCCAGGAAAACGAGAGTACCTATCAAGATCCAAGTCATTTTAATGTATTCACTGGATTGGCGAGAGTGTCTTTAGCCATTAAAATATGGCCTCACTACTTTGTAAATAAAATTACGGACGTTCAAAAATGCAGTTTTGTGCGATTTTTGTCAAGTTTTCGTCCAATTTTTATCACATAATCATCTATGAAATAACGAACAGCTGTTCGGATCAAGATTATTTTTTCTAGCTGTCACTGATATGTTTACAAATGTTGTTTACAAACACCGCAACCATTTCTGATCACGTTTTGAGAGCAAATCCCAATATAGGCCTATCGATGATCCCAACCAAGTGAGATTAAAAACATTTTTCTTTCATAACGGATTTAATTAATCGCAAGTGCAATAATATAGTGTAATCATAATTAAATTAAATAACTATGCATCATTCAGGTCAGGAACCAGAGATTCTTTGTGTGTAAAATTGTTCTTGAGTTTTGATAACCAGAAAGAAGACCTTGAATCAGTGTTGTATAGGGCTGGGAAACTTACATTTATTAAATCATCGTCGCCAATAGCTTACAAACAAGGATTACACTCATTGACATTCAATGTTGGTTGTGTAAAGTGTTAAGTAAAAAATCACAACTGCAGTGGGTGATTGTAACAGAGGTTTACGGATGATGCTAAACTCGCTTTTCCAATGTGTCACTTTCTGTTTCTACTCACTGTGTGATGCAATCGCTGGACCATACAGCCAATAGGCCCATAGCCCATCTCTTGGGTGCGTACGCCTACCTGTATTCCAATTTGATTGATTCAATCATTACCGTACATCATTTTGTCAACCAGAAGAAAGTGTTAAATGGTGAGGTTAAAGTGGTAATTTAAATACTTTTAACCATTGTGGAAAGTAACTTTCAATTATAGGCCTACCTTAAACCGGGTTTTCCTAGACGCGGAAGAAGAGCGCGGAGAGCGGAAAAGCGATTAACATGGCATTCCGCTTCGCTTCTAAGAAAACAGTAACATTAAATTACTTAAGACAAGAGGAGTCGGCTCTCCGCGTTCCTCTCTCTGCACTCCGGCTCCGCGCCTAGAAAACCCCAGCTTTAGGGCTATGCCTCATAGAGATCTATGAAGCATTTTTTAGTGTAATCATTGGATTTAACATATGGACCAACACGATCCGGGTGACATTTAATTGTGAAACATTTGTTTTGGCTTGAAACTGTCAGATACTGTATTTGCGAAGGTTTATATATAATAGTTTTCCCAGCATATCTGAAAATATGCAAACCAACTGCTGTTCTTAATATAAGAAGGTTTCAACTGAATACTATAAGATCCCCGTGAGTAGAACGGGCACACAGCTAGTAATAACATAAAAGAAAATACAAGACGTGATGAGACAGGTAACTAAACTCCAGGAACTTTGGGTGCAAGAGGTGATATACAGGGGCGGTATCTCCGCTACACAATCCTTAATAGAATTTCAACTTAGGGTCAAGGGTAGTGAGGGACGATTTTGACGAGTAAAATGATGTCAAGTCAGTTGCTAGAAAGACTTGTTTACCTAACACAGGTTTAAGTTATGTGACTGCCAACCAGCAAAAACAAATATTTCCACTCAAATTATGTTTTAGGGATGGTCAAGTCTCAAAATTTCGGGAAATTTTAAATCTCGTTACACGAGACGAGATTTCTTTTTAGCCGAGATTTTTATCGAGACGAGAATAAAAAAAAAAAAAAAAATTAAAAACGCCTGCAGAAAGTCAATGCAATACCCGGAATACAGGAGCGTGTTGTAGTTGCGTTTCCTTTGCGAAGGCGTTCTTATTTAATTAATTCCTTAAATGTAAATATTACTTTAATTATTTTAATAATATTACTTTTATAACATTTGAGAAGTTTTGTTAAGTGTAAGCAGTGTGAGGAATGTTTTATTACTATAAAAAGTCAAAACAAGTAACTATTTTATAAAAACTAATAATATTAGTTTTTATAAAATAGTTACTTGTTTTGACTTTTATTGCTATTATATTGATATTATTGCTTTTATTTTATGATTTATTTTATTTTAGGATAAGTTGAACTCTATCCTAACTGATATCACTATGTTTCCTAATCGTAGGCATTTTAATAAGTTAAGCGGGATTAATAAAAAAATGTTATGCTGATGTTTTTTAATAAAAGATTGTAAATATTCTCGCCTATTATCATTATTTTTGTATTTAAACAGTCATCTAACAATGTTACAAAATCAGGTAAAAATTTTGAACGTGCATTTCCCGTTGTGTATGAGAAGGGAAATCCCGTCTCGATCTCGTCTCGAAATTTTATGAGAAATAAAAAATCTCGTCTCGTCTCGTCTCGAACTAAAAATCCAATCTCGTCCATCCCTATTATGTTTGGAAATTTATTTGTTATAAATATAGCCATCTCACAAAAATATCAAAAAGCACAATTTTTTTAAGAAATCATAATTAAAAAAAAAATATTTGTTTTCTATAATGTAGATGGATTTATAAAACAATTACCCCCGCTGCAGCAAACGTGAAAACTAAGCAAATTTCAATTTTAATAAAATACGCAAAAGTTTGAAATTTATCCTCCAATAATTTTGAAATTATTGGAAGCATTCACAATGTAATGTGAAACATGAAAACATTATATAAATCAACAAAGCTTAATAGAAAATGTAATGAAACTAATAATTTGCAGAACGTTCTCCAAGTATTCATCACTCATGCCGCTAATGTGTTCTTGCTGGAGATTAGCCAAGAGTTCCCTGTGCTACTGGAGGAGCAGGTGGACACTTGCAAGAGGGTCCTCAACATCTACCGCTACATGGTCATGCATACTCACATGGAGGCCAAGACTTGGTACAGTATCTAGCCAACCTTCTGTGTTGTTTAACCATATCCCTATAGATGATCAAGTACTGTCCGTGTGATACGACTTTACACCATAGTGGGAGTGTCAAGACAGTTCCTTTGCCACCCCTGACTGTACTCAGAAAATACCACGAATCCTAGAAAAATACCGGTATGGATCATAAACATAAACAAATGACGTTGTTGGCCCGAATCCTATACTAACAGCATTAGTATATGTTTTGGCAGTTCCATTTAAGCAATGTTAAATATTGTTTATTTTCGGGCCAAAAACGTCATTTGTTTATGTTTATGATCCATACCGGGTCTTTTCTAGTATTCGTGGAAAATACTCTGTCCGACACAAAACCAAGCATTCTAGTCTTGACTGAACACGGACTGAAAAAAACAGAGCTAGAAGCTACAAAAATTCCCGGCTACTCTTTAATTACCCACTTTAGTAGAGAAGAACATAAACTTGGAGGTGTTGCAATATATTCCAAGGAATCCCTTGCTGATACAGTATCAGCTATTAACATATCAAACACATGCCAGGAGTTAATTTTCGAAGCAGCAATGATTCGCATGCAGACAACAAAGAAAAAGGATATCTACATCCTGGGAATCTATAGACCACCGATCGAAAATGCAAGAATTGCCCTTGACCTCCTATCAGACACGCTAGAACTACAAGAAGTACACAAGAAAAATCTCATACTCATCGGTGACATAAATATTGACAGGCTCACCCAAGATTCCAAAAACACCATGCTGGAAGAAGAGTTAACCACACAAAACATCTGGAGATTTCCTCTAGAGGCCACCAGAATAACCCATGACACAGCCACTTCAATAGACTGTATATGCTCAAACATACCATATGCGTATATTACTGGACAAGTTGTGCATACTGGTCTATCTGACCACACTGCGCAGCTGTGCCTGCTGAAAACACACCAAGAAGACACTTCCCAAAGATTTGTAATGAAAAGAAGCCTAAACAACACAAACCTAAACAATCTAAAGGCTCACCTCCATTTACAAAATTGGGAACATGTTTACTCTTCACCGAATCTTGAAACCTCCTACAACAAATTTCATAATATTCTTCAAACAGCACTGGATTATACATGCCCATTAAAGAAAACTAAAATTAGTACAAACAAAAAACATATGAAGTACTACGATCCTGAAGCAAAATACCTTAAAGAGAACTTTTTGAAAGCTCTGCAAAAGTTTGAGTTAACGAACAGAAATGAAGACAAATTAGAAATGATTAATAGAAAAAGGATATACGACATGAAACTAAGAAACCTAAAAATGTCCTCATGGCAAGTTATAAACAAGGAAAGGAAAGGAAAATGTGAAGAGAAAACCCTTACAGAATTAGAAATAAATGGCAAACTCACAAACGACACAAAAGAAATGGCCGAACACTTCAACACATTCTTCTCAAATATAGCAGAAAATACCCTTGACCAAAACAGAGCAATTGTTATAGACCCTGAAACAGTGCTGAATGGAGAGGAACCAGTCTGCCCAATACACCTTACCCTAACTTCAACATCCTATAAAGAAGTTAAAACGATAATAAACTCCCTAAAAGCCAAAACATCAAGTGGAATAGATGAGTTTTCCTCTAAGATGATAAAGCACTGCTCTCAAGAACTCAACTCTCCTCTGGTTTATCTTATAAATAAATCATTTAAAGAAGGCAAATTCCCATCCACCATAAAAGTCAGTAAAATATACCCCAAACATAAAAAAGGACCAACTGAAAATGCTCAAAACTACAGGCCCATCCCTCTCATCTCCAGTTTCTCTAAAATCATAGAAAAAATTGCTCTGGCTAGATTAATGGCACATGTTAATCATAACAAACTCTTAACTGACAGCCAACATGGCTTTCGGAAGAATAAATCTACATCCTCAGCTATAACAGCACTAATTGAGTACGTCCTAGACCAGATAGAAAACGAACAATACATTTCCGCCATCTTCCTTGATTACAGTAAGGCTTTTGACTGCCTGGGCCACGACCTGATATGCAAGAAACTCGAAAGACTCGGTATAAGAAACTCTGCGCTAGAATGGTTCAAAAGCTACCTAACGGGACGTTCACAAGTCGTGGAACTGAAAAACTCATCAAATGAAGTCACAGAAAGTTTCAAATCTTCAAAAAGCAAGCTGACGAGAGGAGTTCCACAAGGCTCTGTATTAGGCCCGATTCTATTCATCTTATTGACTAATGACTTCCCCAAACAAATTGAGAGTGAAAATGCTGTTGCAATCATGTATGCAGATGACACAACCATTTTGATCAAGGACAACACAGCCCAAAACCTTTACCTTAATTCAAAATCGATCCTAAATAAAGCTATCCTCTACTCAAAGAACAATGACTTAGCAATAAACCCCATAAAAACTACAACTCTGAATTTCGGTAAGAAAAAAGACATAGTCCCTCAATTAGAGGATGTAACAATAGAAAATCACACAAAATTTCTCGGTGTTATCCTTGATAACAAACTAACATGGAAAGAGCACATCAACCACTTAAGCAAAAAAATCAGTACTGGAATATATGTCGTCAGAAGAATAAACTACATAGGCGGACAAAAACTCCGTGGCCAAAACAGCTTACTTCGCACTGGTAGAGTCGCATCTTAGATATGGCTTGACAGTGTGGGGAGGAACTTCAACAAAAAATATGAATCGAATTCTTGTCCATCAAAAGAAAGCCATAAGAGCCCTCGCCAACCTTGTCCCACCACAGACTTGCAGACTAGCATTCGCAAACCTAGGAATCCTCACAGTGGTGTCTCTCTACATACTTGAATCTATAAAGTATGTGAATGAAATAAACCCCCCAAGAAACCGAGACCTGCACCACTACAACACCCATCATGGCTCCAAATTTGCACTACCAGTTCACCGAACAACTCTTTGGGAGAAAAAACCTTCCTACACCGGCTGCAAGCTGAGGAACCATCTACCTGACTACCTGAGAGACCTGACTGGCAACAAGCTACACCAGGAGTTCAAGAAGTGGCTAATCGCAAGACCCTTCTACTCAATAAAGGAATTTAATGAAAATTAACATGTACAATTCACTATTGTATTGACACTATTGTAATTCTTGACGAATTAACAATAAAGAATATTGTATTGTATTGTATTGTATTGTAAAAACAATTTTTACGTTTTAATTCCTCTTGGCAGCTTTCTGTTGACAATAAATGTTTGACTTCTTAAACTTTTTTGGATTAGGCCTGGAAATATTGATGTTATCAAACAAGGAGATCAAGGATAATAAGGAATCAAGGTTTTAAATTTGTACTCACAAACCCCTGACGGGTTTTATCCAGGGATAAACAGATGGGTGACATAGATTAAACACAATGCTGTCATAGACCTAGGATACTGCAAGTAGAATTACTATCCTTTTGTAAAATCTAAAAAGAAAAAGTTGTTTGTGTTACGTTTGGATGCGCTGATATAGGCAAAATATCACTTTTATTTCTACTAAATTCTGTATCTTATCGTTTGAATAAATGAATATGGAAAATTACGATGTACATATATTCAATGAAGGTGGTTAATCATCACGGATATTAGAACGGATAACGGTATGGATAATAAACATGGAAAAATTAGGCCACTAGCTTACTAGCGTGTTTACTTTTTTAAATTCCTTCTACAGGTGACAAATGTTCTTTTTCCAAATAAATGCTATTTAACTTTACAGCTGTTTTAAAATAAACTATATGTTATTATTTTTACTTTTCTTTGTTTACTAATTTATTTAGCAATTACTGCAGTGAAATTGATATAAAGGGTAAGTATGGACGATTTATTTAATGATATCAGGACTATGTCGACATATCAAATTTTTTGTTGGTAATGCAAATGTCAATTTCTGTATTAGATCTCTAAAAGACTGTCCAATAAGCTGTAGGGTGTCAGTATAATCAAAATCTGATTCATACCATATACCATATTATCCCAGTTTAGTACTGTATGGTTCAGAAACTTGGGCCCTGACCAAAGTACTGAAAAACCTTATTGCTGGGTTTGAGAATAGAGAACAGATCAAATATACAGACTATAGCAAGATAATGGTGGCTTAATGGTGGTTGGGATACGAAAGAACAGACATCTAAGACGAATCTTTGAACACCCAGATATATGGGTGCTTTCCAGAAGTAAAAGGCTCGGATGGATAGGCTATGCGTGGAGGAGAGGAGATACATCAACTTTAAAAAATTTATTCCAAGGAGTACCACAAGTAAGACGACCACTTGGAGGACCAAGCAATGAAAGACTTCTCCAGACTGGGACCAACATTAGAAGAGGCAAGGGAAGAAGAGAATGGGAGGCCAAAATCCTCTTAAGGTTTCAAAGTGCTTTTTTTTTGCTAGCTTGTAGGTAGGCTTAATCTATGTTCATCTTGCTTTACTATATACACTATTTACATATATACAGACAGTGGCCACTGAGGTAAGATAAGTACTCTTTAAGTGAAAGTATGCAAAAGGTTATAGAACAATGCAATAGGACCGCCAATCCAACTTCAAGGCTTTTCAAATCAATACAATCGCTGTTTTATTGTAAAATTATCGGATTTAAAATGCATATTGTATAGGCCTAATAATCGCATGAAAGAAATAGGTGGACATGTCATATTTGATTACAATATAATTTTCAATTTTCTCTATTAAAACTGCCATAATTTTTCTTTTTGCCTGTAAACTAGCTGTTCTGAGGTATACTCAGTTTTAATCGACTTCTTGATTCTCGTACGTACAACAGCTAGTTATGTTTAGTTTGGGTCTCCCTAAAAGTAGAGAGGTTTCTATGGACCCAGCATGCTATTTCCAAAATGTAGTGATCGTAAAAAGTTAGAACTTGAAAAATTTGAAACAGTTTTTTACTAGGGGTTCTAGGGGGAACTTTGCCAATAATTCGTACTACTTTTTTTGCAATTTAAAAATCTTTTATGAATGAAGAAAGTTACCCCAGATCAAAATACCATATGTCAATAATGATGAGAAATATGCATGATATATTATTAGCTGGGTTTCTAGACGCGTTACTTGTGAGATTATTCTTATTGAAAAAATGCAAGAGACTAATTTTTTTCAATTTGGGGTGCCCAGTTAAGATTTTTATTCAAAATTAATCCGAGGAAGTTTACATTTTGTTGTGGAGATAATTGATGATTTGATAGTATAATGTGATTTGAATCATCTTCCCTGTAGTTAGCCAAAAAGTTTATGATTTGTGTTTTTTTCCACATTTAGGGCCAGACAATATTGACCCTTTGTGGCACACCGCATTGCACTTTATCCCAAGATGAATTTACTTGTTGAACATTTTTGCTGATTTTAGTTCTCTGATATCTATTAATTAAATAGGAAGAAAACCATAGTTTTTGTTTTTCTACAGCTCCAAATTTACCTAGCTTTTCAATTAAAATATTGTGGTTAACACAGTCAAAAGCGCTGGATGGTCGCACAGCACACCCGCAGCCTTCTGCGGCTCATCCAGCGACCCACCTATATGATTAACCATTTATGTTATTGATGTTTTGGTACTAAGTTCTTTTCTGGATCCAAATTGTGATATATTAAATATATTATTGTTTTCCATATAATTTGTTAGTTGTACTTCAAATGCCTTCTCATATATCTTAGAAAAAACACGGCAGTAAAGCTACCGGACGATAATTCTTCAAATCATTAACACAATTTACTTGTCAGTAAGTTATTGATTTTTCTACAATAGTAATCACAAATAATTATATCTTCTATATATTTCAGGGAACAACTGCTCTTAGTTCTTCTACAGATCACATCTTTAATTCTAAGCAAAGCCCCACCAAAAAGGAAGGAAGAAACTCTTGGAGGCAAATTGGCTCCTGCCATTTTTCAGGTGTGTAATGATAAATCTCGTATTTTCTTATATAAATTTCTCTGAAAGAATTATCGTACCAAGAAAAATTCAAAGTTTGTTGTGTGTTTTGCACCAAGTTTATGATATTTTATATATATTTTTCTTTTATCCTGTAGCATAGTATAGTAGTGTACAGTTGAATTAACATGTGTTGTTTGTGGCTGCAATTTAAAGTCAAATCTTTGTTCTTCAGACCCTGATAGTGACTTGGATTAAGGCCAACTTGAACGTGGTTATCTCTTCCGAGTTGTGGGACCAGTTTCTGGCTGTACTCAGCTCTCTAACTCAGTGGGAAGAACTAATTAGAGAATGGGCTGTGAGTATATCTAGACTGGCTGCTACCAGTGCTTCGCAACAAGTTTAACATGTAAACTAAACATATCTTGTAACAGATCTGTCAACCTGGGAGGAATTACAGGCGGGAGTGACCCCCCAGTTGCAGAACATTTTTGAAAATTTAAGCCTGAAAAACAGGTTTTTAACCATTTTTACTAACGTATGAATAGTTTAAATTATTAATTTTTCCATTTCATATCATCCAAACACGTACATAAGTTATTGAAAATAGCAAATTTGTAAGCACACTAGGATAGTGAAATAAAACTACATTTGTTTTCATTAAATTTACATTATTTTCATTACTGAACAATAAAACAAAACACCAGTGTTATATACTGTAAGTGTAAAATATTAATGAAAATACCCCCGCCACAGCAAACCTGCAGACTAAGCGAATTTCCATTCGCCTGATTGGATTTACACTAAAATGTCTACTTAAAAATATAACATTTATTTCCTATTTAAAAAGAATCAGTTTAACAAGTACTTAGGTTTGCTGCATCAGGGAGGGTAAAACTGTTTTTTTTTTTTTTTGTAAAATGTTAATAGTTAGTAAGAAATAAAAACATTTTCCAAATTTGATCAAATTGTGTTCATAAACAAGCAAACTACAACAGTTTACTTGTTCTCCATAAGAATAACATGGGAATTTAAAATTAAATTTTTTTTAAATTTTCTCCGTAACCATTAGGCGCATAACAACACTTCAATATACTAAATTATTTGTTTTTTTAAGCTCTACAAAATGGTTTGGAAAGAAATTGCTAAATTTTATGTTTTTTGGGTCGAAAATGGGAAAGACCTATTTTTACCCCATAAAACCCCCAGTAAACCCCCGTTCCCATAGTCTGATCATGCTGGTTCGCGAACTCGTTCAAGTTTATCCCGCCTTACACCTTCATACCAAATTTTATCAAAATCGGATAAAAATTACTCAAGTTATCGTGCGGATGGACACATATACAGGGTGATCAACTCAAGGAGGCCACCATTGGGATATCGGAAACGGTAAGAATTAGAGAAAACTTTAAATGGGGGATATTCCTTTATTTTTTGTGGCAGTTAAAAATATGATTTTATTTTTTTTAAATTCAGCCGCCATTTTGGAAAATGGCGGACAACTTTGAAATTTCTTATGGAACACCCTATATTTTATCATGTTTTCGGATAGAACAGGCAATTTAAAAACTTTTTTATTCTTGACATTTTTTCGATAAACCCACTCGTTTAGGAGTTACAGCCTATGGAAAAATGACTTCCGGTGTACATTTTACATCATGTAGCTCCTAAACAAGTAGGTTTATAGCGAAAATTCGAAAAGTAAATAAGTCAAATAAGTCTTAAAATTGCATCCACATTCCAAAAAGACCATAAAATTCGTTAAAACTATTAATTCTATTATTTTAAAAATGGCGGCCATTTTCCAAAATGGCGGCAAACTTGAAAAGTGGAAAACTGTGTATTTTATGGTCTTTATGGAATGTGGATGCAGTATTAAGACTTCTTTGACTTATTTACTCATCGCATTTTCGCTATAAACCTACTTGTTTAGGAGCTACATGATGTAAAATGTACACCGGAAGTCATTTTTCCATAGGCTGTAACTCTTAAACGAGTGGGTTTATCGAAAAAATGTCAAGAATAAAAAAGTTTTTAAATTGCCTGTTCTATCCGAAAACATGATAAAATATAGGGTGTTACATAAGAAATTTCAAAGTTGTCCGCCATTTTCCAAAATGGCGGCTGAATTTCAAAAAAATAAAATCATATTTTTAACTGCCACAAAAAATAAAGGAATGTCCCCCATTTAAAGTTTTCTCTAATTCTTACCGTTTTCGATATCCCAATGGTGGCCTCCTTGAGTTGATCACCCTGTATATATATATATATAAAACTCTATATATAGATATATATATACATATATAAACATTTGAACGAATGGTGTTTTTGGCCTCTGGGGACATCAAAATGGAAAAGTAAATCGGTCCCGGGCCTAGGTCTTACCATGAGACCTGTGGTAATAGCTACTTCCCTATAGGGAAATTCGCTAAAAAGGAGTTTCAAATTGAAAAATTAATTTTAGTTCTTAAAACACAAACTGAACACATTTGTATAGGCTAAAATAAACGTATAAAACACCAGACATTTCCTTTTTTTGGAAAACTAACCTCCTCAGGAATTGTTTGGGTAAGCAAAAGGTAAAAAATAATACATTATTATTACATTTTCTGTATTTATAAAACTAGCAACTGTGCTGTCTTTGAAAAAAAAAAAAAAAACTTTGGTTAGGTAATTAGTTGTAAAACAAAAATAATAAAACAAACGTATACTATAAATAAGTCTTGGGTTTGGTTCTCAAAACTAAACAAATAAAACAAAAAACATAGCCTATATTAACATATTTATTTACTACATGTTATATGAGACTAGGATCTGAAATTGCACAGTCTTAAAAAAATACCTTGGTTTTGCTGATAACTAAATAAAACCTAAATACTGTACTAAATATTTTACAGTGATGAGATTTGTTCAATGGTAAACACAAAGATTAATTTACATCATAAAGTCTCACACTACTAAACAAATCTAAGCCTAATTATTACGAATGTTTATCATTCACTTAGACTTATGTTGGTCATTCTACTGCTCAGTGGAACGTTTGGCTGCCTTTAGAAGTTCAGGTGGGGGATTGAAACTTAGATTTTGTTCTGAAGCCAGTTTCACTGCAATGATAGAAGTTAAAGTCCCTTCAAGACTCAAAATTGCTCTGAATGATGTTTGGTTTTCTCTAATCATTGAGGGAACTCTCTCTTTAGATGCGTTGGAGTGGTGCAGCACTAAAACTGCTTCTGCTACTTTGCTAAGATTCTTAAAAGTTTTGGAAGAATCAGCATTTTGTTTATTCATCAAAGAACCCCAAACCACGCCCATTCTAACAAATCCTACCTTGTCTGTGGCTTCCATCCAGACAGATTCATGTACATCGTTGTCTCCAAGCAGTTGATAAGTTTAAAACTCAACAGGGGTAAATGCCCAGTTTCTCAATCAAAGTTGTTATGGTTTCAAAGTTTTAATTCAGTCTGTCTTTGAAGTCAACAAACTTTGAACAACTGGATACCTCGTCATCCAGAGGGAGCGTTCTCAAAGAATAAGAAACCGGTTTGGTGTAAAACTATCTCACAGCTCCAAAAAATGTCGTGACATCTTGCTCTGAAACTTCACCATTTTTAAGTAAATACTTAATTTTCTGTTTCGTAGTGAATTCAACAAACAAAGCATCATTTGGTACCTACTTGATTTTCAGGGTCGACTGACTTACCAAGTCATTGTCTTTGACACACTCCTTAACAGTAGCAACTCGTACAAACTTAGTAGTTAACTTCTTTAAACAAGAATGCATAGACAAAAAAAAGAAGGTAAAGACAGGGTTTTTCTAGTTGTAAGAACTTGTTGAAGTTTGTAAATAATGGCAAAGACGCCTGTGTTAACAATAGGGGTGTGCGAGTACTCGAACCTTCGAGCTTTTTGGTGGAGCTTTTTATTATTCGGCTCGGCTCGAGGCATATTGAAAAAGCTTGAAGTTCGAGCCGAGCTTTTAATACTAAGTCAAAACTAAAAAAACACTCTCAGTATTTTCCTGTACTCAACATCACACAATGAGCAAAATTCTTCCAGATATCCTTTTCTTTTTGTGCTTTGCTCAAACCAATAGAACAAATCGACACAAAAATCTTCAATGTCAAAATCACAGATAGAGCCAAGTTCTGACATAGCTTTGGAAGCCGTGCTATGGACGAGGCAAGGGCATCCCATAACAAACACGGTTTTATTTTTTTGTATACTCTTGTTTTTATTGAGTTTGATTTACCAATGTTTACATTAGTGTTGTCAACTGAAACCCCCTTACAACAATTTTCCCAACGAATTTCATGTTTAGTCAAACACTCATCGATTTTGTTTAATATTGCTTCAGCTGTACCAGCTTCAGGTCCTTTAGTCAATCACATGTCAAGGAGTTCTGTAACAACACGTGATCTATTTATGTCAAAAAGACGAACGGTGATAGGGTTCATCTTCTCCAATCCCAGATCGTTAGAACTGTCCGTAGCAAATGAGAAAAAGTTATTTTTCATTCTATTGATTAAACTTTCGGTAAAAAAGGTGCTATGGCACCATTCAAAATGCATGCTGTTTTAGTTTTTGCACAAGCATAGTTTTGTGCAATTTTGCTGTCGGGAAAGTTTTGTTTGATTGCAGGGCTCAAGTGGTCTGCTAGAGGTATGTTCTGCTGAACCATCAAGTGTGTAAACTTTACCTCAGTTTTTATAACTGTATCATCTTGTGATTGAAAAAAAAACAACTTGGGCTGCCGCTTTATTGCAACAGCTAACTTCCCTTGTGTTGAACTCTGAATATGTCGTTCTTCATCTTTTTTGCCCTGGTGAGCACAGCTTACCTCTATTCGCCATACCGTGCAGGGAAAATACTGTCTTTACCCGGTGCTGATCTAATAAAGGGCCATTCAACAGTCCATTCATTTTTATATCTTGTTTTGTATTTGAAAGATCCACTATACTTAGTTGCTTTACCTTTGAATCCAGTTTCGTCAGAATCACTCTCCATCACACACTTAACTTACTACTGGTACTCTACTTCTCAACCGACAAAATACAATTTAAATAAATACCAACGTACTACACACTTGGCTATTTTGCCCCTGAATTCAATGTTTAAAGTTTATGTGACAGAACCACAGACGAGTGAGACGACAGTCCCGCCCGGGCAGACTCCGAGTCTCGCAGAGCGACCAACATAACGTTAACTAACGGGATGAAAAATTCCCGATTTTCCAAAAAATACCCTATTGTGAGTATAGTATCAGATATGCGGGAGTTTTCTACTGAAAGCGGGAGAGCAGGAGTGGACATCGGAATGCGGGAGAGTTGGAAGGTCTGCTAGTAACTAGTAACCTTTACA